CTCTTTGTTTTCTGAGCTCACCCAACTCCGTGATATTATAAACTATAAGCATTCAAGAGGGCACAGTTAAGGGTCTTCTAGAATGCTAGGCAAAAGCATTTTTATAAAAACAGACTCAGCGATTCCCTTCAATGGGCCAAGCATGATGCTATAGTAGGGAATCAGGGCATGGTCAAAAACCTTAAAGTTTCCATCCATGAGGTATTAAAAGGGAAACTGTTAGTATAACAAAAGACATGCATAGTCAAGTGCTCTAAAATGGGCATTAATACAAACAAGGTGCACTGGAGCCAAGGGCACATCTTTTCCGACTAGAAACAAATTATTAAATCATGGAATTAAGTTCCTTAGGTACTTTAATGGTTTATAGGACAGATCCTGGTTATTTCGCTCTTAAATGACTGTGAAATCATATGATTACCAGAAAAAAATGCTATTCCATTAGACTGCTAAACTAGTTTATTAGCTAGCAATTAACATACTAACAACTCACTCAGAAAGCACCTCAAAGTAGGAATAATCCCCAAAAAGTTATTTTATAAAACCAGGAAAACAGGTTATCAACGTTTTGGTTGTAAAAGTATCAACATAAATAGGATAAGAAAAGAAACAATTTTCTCAACTAGAAGCCTCCCTCTGGTCTCCCACATTTGTATAACTTTAGTTTTAATGTGTCAAAACACAAGAAACTTTTAAATAACTAAAGTATACTTCTATTGGAGCTAATCTCCAAGTAGTTTCAAATTAAATAAATATTGTTTTAAAATACAAAACTGTAAAGGCCTAAGAGTGCTATAAATACATACCATGCTCACACTGGATTCAATTTGTTCTCGTTATTCTTTTCACACACATTCTTTTTTCTTCCTCACTGAGTTTACTGGTACATGTTAGGCATACAGTACAGTTCCACTCATCATTGGGATCTTGTACCTGTACTTAACAGGTCTTGGTTCTCATTTTTCCCCTTATCCCTGGCTGGATTCAATTTTTAATGTAAATTGGTTACTAAGATTATTCCTGAACTGCTCATATTGTAAATGGCTTAAAATTGTAGGACCAATGCTACAATCTTTCACTGTATGGTTTGAAAACTCCAATGTTTACTTGAAAAAAAAAAAAAAGATTTCTTCCTAAAATAATTTCACATTCATTTATATTTGAAACAGGGTTCAAATATACAAATATATATATAGTCACACCAACTAATATAACTACACACTCATAAATTAAACCAACTAAACACACATTCTTTGGCTTTGTCAAAAATGAAAACAAAGGGCTGGGGATTTAGCTCAGTGGTTCTGCTGCCTGCCTTGCAAGCGCAAGGACCTGAGTTTGATCCCCGGTACCTAAAAACCAAAAAACAAAACACTGACAAACTCTGGTGCTATAACTGCAGAGAAAGATCTCACTGGAATTAGTCCACTTTCATTAAACACAGACAGTAGAGTCCTCTCAACAGGGGAAATTCAAACTACTGTATTTAGAGAGAGGTGAGGGAAAGTGAGAAGAAAGCATCCATAATGCTAGAGATTTAAAATTTTTTTTTTTTTTTTTTTTTTTTTTTTTTTTTTTTGCTTTTTCACTTTTCTCCATCTGTCTCTGTGCATGGAATTTGTGCTCTATGAACAATCACAATAAAATTATACCATAGCAAAGGTGGAAATGCTATTAATTGAAAATATTCCGTTACTTTTATAACAATATTGCTCAGGAAAAAAAACATCTGGCCCATGAGGAAAGGAGACCTGGCCTTTAAATATGTTTATTTTTGAAGATTATAAACTACCAATGAGGGTTGACCTCTCCATGAAAAATTAGACGAAAATTCAGAGAGCAATTTTCCACAGCCCTACTGTCGAATAAGAACTTATTAGGCAGACTTACAGAGAAGTAGAAAAGCACAGAATTAAAAAAAAGAGGAACAGCTCATGCATAACAGGCAATGTTTTTCCAAATACTAAGACTCAGTACTGGTGTTTAGTTTCCACCTCTGAGTCACCTTATTTCCAATGGATGAAAGAGCACTATCACGCCCTTCAACGATAATTTGATTAATGATTCAAATTTGTTCATTTAGTGTTGATAACATACTAGTCAAGGAAGAGTCAAGTTTTCCTGTGAGAAAATAACTGCTTGACACAGTAGCTATCTTCTAAACTAAAGCATAAACTAGTTATTAAAACCTCCACAAGCATATTTCTCATTTAACTTTCCCACTGCTGGAAGGGGGAGCATTCCAGTCGGTCAAATAGGAGCAGAGAATAAGTTAATGCAAGGCCTGCAAAGCCTTAAAGCCTCTTCAAATGATGCCATACTACAATACACATAGACTTCTTAAATTCTCCCCTACTTCTGGACAAACAACTATATAACAGGCAGAATTACGGAAAGAAAAACCTGCTAGGAAAGCAAAAAGAAAACAGTAATTATTAACTTATGTCCCAGAAGTCTCATACAGGATCTCACTGAAACCTCACAACAGACTTTTAGGGTATGTTCAACAATCATGCCTCTCTCTTTTTGAAACCTGAGGTTCTGCATATTACCTGAGAAGCAAGTCACACAGGTAAAAGTTAAAGAGCTAATACATATACCCAAGTCAGCCTAAATCCAAAGCCCACAGGTAGTATGCTGCACCACAGCTTGCCTAAATCAGAAGCAGCCACTTGGGAGACCTGACCTATACAAACATTTTTCTGGCATCTTGACGGAATTTATGACTACTTATGTCTTTAAAACTTAATTTCTTCACCTGACAAATGAAGTTAATCATTACACTGCTGACTTTATGCCGTATTACCCTACAAGTCCTTATTTTGATTGCTATTTAGATTCTACGAGCCTAAAATAAAGTATTTTGGTTTCTCGATCTTGTTCTTTTTTTTTTTTTTCTGAATAGGGAGAAAAACACAGGACACTAGTAGCATTTATAAAATCTTAACTATTCTAAAATCAAGCTTTCCTGTCTACAAAATAGAATCACTTCTTTCAGTCCCCAGTTTCTTCCCCAAGGCAAAGTCTTTATTAGAGAGCCAACACATCCTGCAGTAAAAAAGAGCCTCTTGTGCTGATAACAAGAAGCATCAAAAAAAACCCTAATTCTTATTTGCAGTTTTAATTATCACACAATTATGGTTTGTTTCTTGTGCAAATAACTAAGTACATTCATACCAAGTGTCTCACACTTGTCTGATATTGAACAAGGACTCAAGAGAGAAGCAGTATAGAGGGCTCATTTACTAATGACCCTGGACCACGCCTACTTATCAGGGTGATCGTGTGTGACAGCTTTCCCGGTACAGGTCCAATTCATAAAATTCAAAAGCACCCCTTTAACTCTCAAAGTAGCTTCTATGTACATAACAAATTATATGGGCATCCTACTATTAAAAATGATAAATCATCTTCTTGTGTATTATAATCAAGACAATAGCCAAGTCAAGCGTGAGGGTCACACCTGCAATCCCAGCACTCAGGGAGACCGAGGCAGGAAGATCTCAAGGTTGAGCCAAGCCTGGACTAATTAACAAGTAACAGTGAAACCTTGTCTCAAAAAATAAAAAGGGTTGGGGATGTAACTTAGTATAAAGGCTCCAGTTTCTATTCCCAGAAACACACATACACACACACATACACGCAAACTAACCAAGAATAGCTTAATAGGTGTGAAGGAAGGAAAACATAGAACAGATATAAACTGAAATAAACTGTTTGTACATAGTACTACAAATACGTAACACAACAGCAAATAATAGTTACCTATAAATTCAATTCTTAAAATAAACCATGTACTACAATGGTACCCTGCTATATTGTACTTATCATTCAGTATCAAAAAAGGATACCAAGTAAACTGTTTTGGCTGTAGCAAATCACAAGGCAATTGACACTGACAAGTTCTAGCATGTAAGTTGAGCACTACACTAATGACAAGTACCAGCAAAAACTTTTCATGTCAAAATGCCTCAAGTAAAACACTGACATGTTTCGAAGTAGTTGAGTACTAAGGTGATGGCTATATTACTAATTTCAGTCATTTCCAATTTTCAAAACAATTCAGCTTAAAAAAAATATGTAAAGAATCAAACAGATTAGCTATATAAGGCAACAGAACACAGAAAAATGAAAACATCAATAAAAACAAAATGCGAATGTCAGCCCCTGGCGCCTCACAAGGAATAACCCTTTACTCTAGTTCAGGCTCTACTCAAAGTCTACTCCCTTTAAAGTTGCAAAAATACTGAGGCACAGAAACCTGTAATGAGGTTAATAATGTCCCTTCCTTTCTTCCCTCCTTCCCTCCTTCCCTCCTTCCTCCCTTCCTTTCCTTTTTTTTTTGGTACCGGGGATCGAACTCTCATCTTGCGCTTGCAAGGCAGGCGGCGGAACCACTGAGCTGAATCCCCAGCCCCAGTAATGCTCTTAACAACTCCTCTGTCCTGGGGTCTCATGACAGAATCTTGTGATTGTGGTTAGAAGCTAAGGTCACGGTGGATTGGGGTTGGTGCTCTAGCAACAATTAGGGTACTTCAGAGATCGAGAACACAAAGCTGAACAGAGGGAAGAAGGCCATGTGACAAGGGAGGCAGAGGTTGAAGTGATGAGGCTACCAGGCGTCTCCAGGAGGTGGGAGACACTGGGGATGATCCTTCTCAAGAGAAGCCATGACCCAGCCAATACCTTCATTTTATATTTCTAGCTTCCACATAATTGTCTCTTGTGTAAATCCACCAAGTTTGTGCTAGTTTGTTTTAGCAGTTGGGAGAGACTAATGCATACCTTTTATCTACTATCATTTTTTTAGACTTCATCCCTTATGCAAGTGATCAAGAGGCCATAATCAGTGGTCTGTGGGGGACGATGCATCGACTATTGCATTTCAAACCAGGAGAGCTCTACTGCCCACCCAACAAGCCTACACTGAGATGGTGAATTCAAAAAGCTTTTCCTCCAGAGCTGAGCACCCTTTCCTCCACGCTCTGGTGGAGTTATACCTCATCTTTCTTCTCCTGAATGCGCCGTCTCTCGGCCTCAATAGCCAGCTTCTCCTGAATTTCCTGAGCAATTTCACAGTCTTGTTGTTCCCTAAAAAACAAGTGTGAAAAGATTATGACTAAAGAAAATAAGGAACATTTTTTCCTAAAAATAATAAACACAAATTACTGAATACTGACTGTGAGCCATTATGTATTTTTATCTCAATTAATCCTCATAAGGACACAATGAGACTGACACTTTACAGATGAGGAAATAGGTCCAGAATAGATATATCACTTCCCCAAGATGAGAGAAAAGCTGTAGCAAAACCAGAGACTAAACTGCAGATGCTTCAATGTAAAGTTTGTGCTTCTGCACAGCCACATCACTTTACTCTACTGGGGCCACTATACAGACAGGTGTGTGTTCTCCAGGTTCTGCAAGGGCTATGACACACCCAGAGACGAATGTCCAAAAATACCAAATACAGAGTTCACAGATAAACTGCAAACAAACTCATTAAAAGGTTAATAATACTGTGACAATATGGCTTTGAAATTATTTTTATGAATGGTATAACAAAGCCAGGGATGGTGGTACACATCTGTAATCCTAGCACTCTGGGGGGCAGAGACAGGAGGATCACAAGTCTAAGCCTAGCTTGGAAATATAGCAATTTAGGGAGCCCTTGACTCAAAACAGATAAAAAACAGAAGTTCTGGGAATAGAACTTAGTCTGCACACACATGCACATGTGTACACACACCACATATGAGATATGTATATGTATGAATGAATATATAAATAAAAATGTTTTGTGTCTTTTTTCAGTTTCAACAATAAACACTAAAAAAAATATGCTAACAAAAGTAAAAGAAAGAAAAGGACAAAAGTGGTATATATCCTCAGCTTTGGTTTCCAAAAGTAATTTCTCAGATGCCAGTTTTCTCAAAATTTTGGTCATTAAGAAAACCAAAGGGGCCGGGGATTTAGCTCAGTGGTTCCACCACCTGCCTTGCAAGCACAAGTCTAGAGTTCGATACAAAAAGACAAAAAACAAAACAAAACAAAAAAACAAGTATTATACTATTACCATAGTTTCTTAGTTTTTTGTTCTTTGTTTGCTTGTTTGATTTTTGGTACGCGTGCATTCAGCAAAAATGAAAGTAATACCTACTATGGACTAGGCATTATACACAACACAGAAGATAAAAAACTGAATGACTCCTGCACCTGTCTTCCGAAGCTCATATCATATTCTGGTGGCAGAAACCAGGGAAATCATTTTTGTAGGCAAAAGAAACTTCCAAGTAGTACTTTTAAAGCAGCAGCTCCACAGAAAACAGTTTGCTTCTCTCAGAAACCACTGCTACGCAGACACTCAAGTGTGATTTCAGATTTGAAGAAAAATTATAGAAGATTAAAATTCTAGAATGTGATGGCTCATGGGGGCCATCTTTTATACAAAGCTACTAGCTAGGAGCGATGAATGCGAACATGCTACAGTCGACTACCAAAGATGCTGGAATAAAATTACAGTCGCAATTTATAATGTGCAGTACTTTGTTAAATAAATACATCCCTTCATTCCCTGAGGATTGAACCTAAAATACTCCGTGAATCTCAGACTTGCTTATACATTGCCATGTTTAATGATAATCTTTTGTAATTAAGAACTGGAGACAGATGTGGTGGCCCACACTGTAGTACCAGCACTTTGGGAGACTGAGGCAGGTGCCAGCCCACCCTAAACAACCTAGCAAGACTCTTTCTAAAAAAAAAAAAAAAAAAAAAAAAAAAAAAAAAAAAAAAAAAAAAAAAAAAAAAAAAAAAAAAAATCAAACAAACAAGAGCTGGGGATGTAGCTCTGTATGAAGATCCTGAGTTCAATCTCCAGTGCTAGATTTAAAAAAAGAAAAGAAATGGTGGGGGCAATATCTTGACTGCTCTGGAGGAAATGAAACCCAAATATTTTATTCTAACAAAGTTGAAGAGATGAAAATCCTTCTCATTTGTATAAGGAAATGGCCATGTCCACCTGCTGGGAAGTATGCAGTGTGGGTGAAAGTGTGTGTATGTGCATGTGCACACAGGCAGAAAGAGGGCAAGAGAAAGCAAGACAGAAGGTGCACAGAAGCAGCAGCAATTCTTCATGTTTTAGAACCAGTGGTCCTGCTTCTACCACTACCAGCTGTGAACCATGCCTTCTCACGCCATTTATTAACTATGAAAAAATTAGGACTTAACGACTTTGTACTACAGGTCAAATTATTTCAAATTCTTAACTAGTCAAACCAAAGAAATGAAAATTAAAGCTTATGCAGAAATTTTTATTTCCTCTTATAGTTTATTCACTTACCTATTATAATTAAAAATCATACATTAAATCATAGTCTTAGTTTTAAAAGACTTCTCTAGCTATCTTTTATATTCCAATGAATTTAAATCTATATAGGAGTAAGTGGTTAATAACTATATGCAAAAATAGAAGGAAAGCAGAACAGCAGGGAGAGCAAATCCAAATGAGGTGTTTCAAGGTTACAAGTGATGAAGATGCATCTTCTGGCGTAGAAAATTAAAAAGTAAAGCTTCAGGTAAGCGTAATGATTTTAAACTGTATTCCCAAGAATACAGCTCTGGTTCAGTAATTAGTTATGCAGAATCACACCAAAGTAAAACTAAGTTAGAAAGGACTAGTAATTCATTGGTAAATCTCACTTTGGACAGTGGCCCCAGCACCCAAAATCTAGTTCATTAAAATCCATAGCATTTCATCCATTCCATGATGCCCGGCCGTCAAGATTGCCAGGGCGCACTTTCTTTCTAACTAACCAAAGACTTACAAAACCTTGCAATTACAAGGAAAAAATACCATTCCTGTTTTTTCTCTCATATCAGGTCTACAAATTATCACTCTGACTCCTAAGTTATATTTCCTAGTGGTTTGTCTTAGTAATTTCTAAATAACCTCACTATACTCACTGAAATTACCTTGATTCAGAGCTTTATGCTTCATCAACCCCGAAGTGGTCCTTCCTCTCAGAGAATTGTGAATAATACAAAGGGTGCTCATTTAGAACTCTACAACATTCTAGCTCTGGCAATTCCGACATTATCATCCCTTAATTTAATCACTGCTTAATAGCTGCCTTCAATTTTTCCCCTTCCAAATCTTTCCCTACCCAGTTCCCACAGGGGGTCCCGAACGGTAAGTTAAAATCTAAATTCCCTAATACATCTTACATGACCTTTTGGTCTAACTTTTGGACTACTTTTCTGGTCTTACCTTCTACTTTCACCCTAGTCATATTCTTCACTTTAGCAATACAGCAGACTCTTGACTTACGAACTTAATTGGTTCCAGAGGTCTGGTGGTAATTAAGTTAATACAGCTCAGGTATGGATGTTTACCTGGGTACATGCTACAGATGACAAGAGGCAGATGAATCTTCCATTAACCTAATTAACCCAAGTTGTTCGTATGTCAGGCTGGTCGTAACTTGAGAGCCCACTGTACTCAACTCCTTGCAACTACCATGAGATTCCAAACCCTTTTACCTACTGACTTTATGCATGTTACGCTTTCTAACTAGAAAGGTTTTTTTCCCAGTATCCCTATTAAATCCTAATGAACCACCAAGGTTCAGACTAAACATACCTAACTTGTCTTATGAGACCTTTCCCAGTCCCTCTTCTCTTTTCATAGGCATGTAATTTACAATTAAATTCTCTGTGACTAACACATGTATCTCTAGCTATATAATGTTCATGTGCTTTTCTGAAGCTCTTAAAGGCACTGGCTGTGCCTTGTTTCTATCTCTGGTCTCCAGTTCCTTTCATGGTACCAGGTTTGGTAAGTCAATACTGTTTATTTGCAGAACAAGAAAGCTTAACAAAACACAAACTAAAGTCCCCTTCACAAATAAACCAAAAGACAGATCATTCCTCAAATGCAACAAAATTGATACTTTCCTATTTTATTTGAACATGACATTAAAGTAAATCAAAGAGGTCTCTTTTACACCTCCCTTCATCCTTGTCACTCAACACAGTATTCTGTGGTGAAATTTCCCAATAGAGGTTTAGGTTATAAGAGCCACCCTCAGACAAGAAACATATCCTGTGAGCTTTAAAACATTACAAAACAGTAAAAGGATATTGTATTGGGAAAATGTCAGAAATACACATTTCCATTTATCTGTTAAGGGAAAAGATAAAGTTTGGTCAGGTGCTAAGTTATGTAGAAAATTGTGTGTACAAATCAGAGCTTTCTATAATACTGTTTTTTAAAAAAGCAATGGATTCAAATACGGAGCAGCAAACACATGCTAGGAAACAGTAAAGAAACTCAACAACAAATCATAAATTTCACTGGTATCTATTATTACACTGGATCCCCTAAAGAAGCAGTAAGGCAGAGAAAGTGATTATTTTCCCCCTGCTATGGGTAAGAAAAATAAATTCAAGAGCAGCCAATTAATTGGCTCATGTGGCTAAAAATGTTGAGTTCACACCATGATCTACATACCCCCAAACCTAGTCAAGTTTTCCAATAACAACGAAAGTTTTAAAATCAAAGAGAACTATTGGGCAGCCACTGTAGGATTTGTAAACTAACAGTGAAGGAATCAAAGGTACAGGAAGGGTCCCTACTCCTGGTCTCAGTGATGGCTTCACAATTCTGCAATCAACCCCTTCCACTTTCCAAATCCTCACAGGTCTTTGTAGCGCTTCTGGAGCTGAGCCTGCGCTTTCAGGTCTTCTTCCTGGAGCTGCTTAGCCACCTGGAGATCATGCTGGACCAAACGGTTCCTCTGAATGTTTGATGCCAAATGATGCTCAACTGGGACAAAACGAGTAAGATGAAAAATAGGATTAACATTAAAAAGAACTTTACATCCACCGCTAAGTAAAAACAGGACCAAAAAGATTAAATAATTTGTCTTAGGCGGCATGGCAAAACAGTAGTAGTGCTAGGACTTCTACACAAATATTCTAGCCAGGACCAAAGCTCCTTCTATTACCACACATTGCCACTCTCTTTATTGGGTCCATTTTTCAATTATTTTTATACTGACAAATGAATTAATTATTCAAGAATCACAAACACAAATACTGCCTGTACATAACTTAGATTTACTTTCCATCAGAACAATGCAAAAATATTCAGAATAATCCACATAATGACCTGGAAAAGATGTTCAGGCCCCTATTCTATGAGGCAAGAGTAAGAGTCTCAGCTTCTGACAATTCTGGGAAGGATACAACTACTGTCTACCTTCTTCAAGGGGAAGAAAAAAGGTTCAAGTTCCTATTTTCCTCTTACAGACTCATCAGTTGTATAATCCTTGGACTCAAAACTTCATGTATTACCCAAGCATCATTTGCTTGGACAAATCATTCAGGACGGATATATGGTATAGGCTGGAGCAGTGTTCCCTCCCTACTTTACCCTAAGAAAACAGCCTCATGCTATCACTGAAAAAAGGAAACTGAAGACAATGAATGAGCGCTGGTACTCACTCTCTTGTTCTTGCAGATTGTGAGCCAGAGTGTGGTCCTCCAGGACAGCAAAATCTCGGCATACTGCAAAGGATGAGAGAGAGAGAGCAGACAGGAAGGTTATTAGTAGTACTTCAATATAAAAGGAAAATAATTTTGGGCTGGGGATTTAGCTTAGCGGTTCGGTGGCCTGCCTTGCAAGCGCAAGGACCTGAGTTCGATCCCCAGTACCAAAAAAAGAAAATAATCTTGCTTACTTGAAAAATATCAATTCTAATCTTCTGAGATGATCAAATTTATAACTTGCAATGAATAAAATAGTGACTACTAAAGTATGACATCTTTATTCACAAAAATTCTCATAGTGCTTGCCAAACACAGGGTATCACAACATAATGGTTAGCTCTGGTCTCTTGCCTGAGGTGAGGACATTAAGCACAGAATCAGAACTCATGTCTAGAAATTCCAAACTATTTCTACAAAGAGAGATTAAGTACTGGTAAAGTAAGAGTCAACAATGTAGACAGAGCTAAGTTCTTCCATGGTCAGAGGTATCAAAAGAAATCTACCTCATACCTTAGCAATCTGTAGATCAAGGGATCCTCTCCCAAGAGTTCTGTCTATTAAACTGTCCCTAGGAAAAAATATCACCTTCATTAGTCCTTCAGGCAGGAGCAAATCTCTACTTCACCAACAATCATATTACAGTGGTACCTTGGTTCACAAAATTAATTTGTCCCATAATTTTGGAAAAGCTGGCCATGTTTGTGTCTGTGTGGGAAAGATGGCCACAGTTGTTTGTCAGCTGATATTTAGTTTGCAAACAAAAATAAAATTGTGCTAAACACTTTTGCTTGCAAACCAAACTTCACAAACAAAAGCATTCGTGAACTGAGGTACCACTGTAGTTGATGGTGGTCTCTATCTTTCTAAACATAAGTTGCTCCCAAATAATCCACAAACCCAAAGAAAATGGGAACTCTAGAAGAAATTAGAAATTTGCCCCTAACTTTGCCACCATCTGAAGATCCAAGCAAGAGCACCTGCTGGACTGTTTCCTTAGAAGCAAAATGGAAAGCGAAATGGAGATGATCACTAAGGTCTAGTTTACCGCAAAATGCAATTTAAACTACTACTTCTTAAAAGAAACATTCGAACAAAAAAAAACATGAAGGACTCCTCACAAAATGTGCTGCTTCAAGAACGTGTAGTTTAGGTGATAAGTTCTCACTCTATCCCAAACATGCAACTCATATTAAGAAAGGAAAATTCCCCAAAGCCTCAGACTACTACCATGTACGGGATGCATGAAACTGTCCCTGTAGGTTTATTAGAGGTTACAGATCTCTTTCTGCATCTTTGGACTTGCTTGTGAGGATGTTTAATTGAAACAGTGTGCAGAACACTCAGCACTTACATGTTCATCACACAGTCCTGTCCCTGAATTAGAGATAATGCCATAAAAGTAGAGAAATCTGAAGAATGTCAAGACTACTCAAACAGTTTTATGGTGAAGTAACATTCCTACTCAAGAACCATACTAAACTGAGTATGACCTGCTGACCCTTGTAAAAACGTAACTGTGCGATCAGTAATTTCAATAGAAAGCTCTACTCTTTTTTATCAGATGAATTCTCAGAAAATATCTAACTTGAGGCCCAGGCCCAAGTTACTCTACATTTCACAGAGTTAAAGTGCTTTCAAAATGAGCTGGTAATCACCTTCATTCAACAGATGAGAAACCCAAGGGCCAAAAGAAAGGTCTTTCTAATGCTACACTGTAGTACACTGAAGCAAAGGCTGAGGCTCAATGTCTAAGCAGAAAGAACTCTTTCCTTCCCTGACCCTGCTAAGTCCCACTGACTCCCAGTAAGCCATGGTCGGAAAAGATTGAAAGAAGATACTCTGTATTAACTGACACGTATTCTCTAAAACACCTCAATGAATTAATATCTAACATATAAAAAGATAAGCCACATATGGATTTAATTTACAGAAAGCAAATATTCCAAGGGTTGGGGATTTAGCTCAGTGGTTCTGTCACCTGCCTCAAAAGCTGAAGGTTCTGAGTTCGATCGCCAGTACCAAAACAAAACAAAACAAAAAGAAAAGAAAAGAAAGCAAATATTCAAAATGGACTGACCAGAAAAAAGTCAAATTTTATGCAAAAGAATGTTAGTTTAATATATTAATCTATTACTTGAAGCATCTTTATTATTCTAGATAAGCATATGCTTAGATAGATCAATATTTTTCAAATTAATCCTAGAATAATGCTTTTTCAAATCCTGTGTGCCAAGTTACTATTAAATCATAAAAGTATCTGTAACTCTGAGATACACATTTTAAAAATGAATATGCTAGAAATAACAGCGTGTATCACATAGTACAGAAGACTATGGTCTGCAGAAACTATGCCACATGAGGACTTACATAAAAATTATATGTAGTAGATCTCAGTGTAAGACATATATAATTATAAAGATTACACTCAAAAAATTTTAAAGCTACTTCAATTTATGTTATTAGGTCAGCAAGCTATGCCAAAAATACATTTTACATGTTTTTAATGTCATGCTGACTAAAATAAGAAATCACTGTAGTTTCTTCCTTTTTTTTTTTTTAGACAGGACCTCACTATGTATTCCAGGCTGGTCTCAATTCACAGGGTTCCACCTGCCTCAGCCTCCCGAGTGCTGGAAATATAGACGCACACCACCACACTCAATCTAAAAAATAGTTTTTAATACATGATACTGGCACACTGAATTAAAAATAATGGTTATCACTGGGGAGGAAAAAAAGGGACATGAATGTCTCTGCTGTATATATGTTCTTCTACTGGTTTAAAAACAAAATAAAGATAGGCAATTAAGGTAAAATATTAATGTATATTTAATTTGGGTCATAGATTCCTAGGTTTCTTTCTTATTTTTTTAGTACTGGGGATTGAACGTGGGTCCTTGTGCTTGTGAGGCAGGCAGCAGAATCACTGAGCTAAATCCCCGGCCCACTAGATTTCTTTTTATATTTTGTTTTACAGTACTGGGAATCAGCTTCCGCTGCCTGCTTTGCAAGCACAGGGACCAGAGTTCGATCCCCGGTGGAAGGAAGGAAGGAAGGAAGGAGGGAAGGAGGGAAGGGAAAGGAAAGCAAAGGACAGAGAGAGAGAGAGAGACAGAGAGAGAGGGAGGGAGAACCCTTCTGTTAAGGCCAGGCGTGGTGGGGCACACCTGTAATCCCAGCACTCAGGAGGCTGAGGCAGGAGGATCACTGTGAGTTCGAGACCAGCCTGGGCTACATAGTGAGTTCCAGGTCACACTCAACTACATAGTGAGACCCTGTCTCAAAACAAAACAAAACGAAACAAAAAAATACAGTACTGGGAATCAAATCCAGAGAAGGCCTAACCCCCTGTCAAAACAAAACAAAACGAAACAAAAAAATACAGTACTGGGAATCAAATCCAGAGAAGGCCTCACACACACTATACTCCCAATCCAGAGACAGGTTCCTGGGTTTCTAAATTTCTTTATATTACATTTGAAAGCCTATAATTAATTTTTAAATACACTTCTTCCTTCATTTCATCAACAGCATACAGTCCTAAATCACAAATATTTTTTAAAATGCTGTATCAGAACTGGTGTAAGAATTAATGAGTAACAATTCTTAGTGATTTTTAAATATCTGAACAGCGGACTGAAGTCTATTGAATTATTGTGAGTTAACCCTGGATCTTCCTACTGCAGAGGCTGAACTGGTACACACAGGTATCAGCAGGGCCTGAGCTGGAAGAGGAACTAGAAGATGTTCAGGGACTACAGAAGTACACACACACAGAGCTGTACTGTCCAGTACACTAGACTGCACAGCGCTCAGTTAACCAAGATCTTCCAAATACACGATCTCATTTGCGCTAAGGTATTTGCTCAGTCTACACATTTCTTCTGCAACTACTCAAGTTCCTTTCAAGATCTTGTGTGCATTCCTTGAATCGCTACTCTAACACAAACTGCAAAACACACGTCCATTCCCTTCTGTAAATCAGTAACCAGACTGAGATTACAGTAAATGCTTCACAGCCAGGCCAAGGTTAGAACCTCGATGGGCCTTTGCTCCTTCTCTCACCTAATTTACTTCAATGTAAACAGAGCAAATAACATCTAAGGATTAGACACTGTGAACTCAGCTCCCTCCTTTACCCTGGGGATACATTTAAGGTGAGCACTGGGTCTGAACTTTTATCCTCCCACTCCTCAATCTTCTTCCTGCTGGTGTTCAGTTCCTCACCCGGAATTTAGGCATCTTCTTGGTGTAAGCCACCTCCATCATTGTTTTCCACTGTCCTCACCTGCTGCTAACGTGAGCTCCCTCACTACAGCCATTTCACAACTGCTTCTGTTCCCACCCAGACTTCAGTGGTCCCGTCTCTGCCTCAGACATTTCCCCAAAGTTAGGGCATGGTGGCTGTCTCTGAAACGCTGCCTCTTTGCTTATAAATAAAAACAAATACATTTTGCCCTTGAAATCCAACACACAGCTGCCTCCCTATCCAGGCGGGAGCTCTCAGAAAAATCTCTGCCCCTTCCACACAACTAGCACTGGATGTAGCACACAGCCAGACTGCAAGAAATGTGCACTAAATTGTTTTTTTAAAAAATCAAGAAAAGCATGTCCATAAACTCAAAGAATAAGAGCTCCACAGGCAAAGGAAGAAAACTATTCATTATGCTGTTATTGTAATAGGATCACAGACTTGTACATTTTGTCAATCATTTATACAAAGTTATTAATAACACATAAAACTGGAAATCTCCAATTCTCATTAAAGGAAAAAGTGTTAATAGTTTTTAATCTATCTAAAGACACACACATAAGTATATGTAAATGAATCTGCTTACATGAAACCAAACAAGTTTGAAGAATGATGAGAGACTACCATAAACATATTCATATATATGAAGTATGTTTCCCATCATTTTATTTAAAGGACAATTCTCATTCAGTTATGGATTTTCCCTAAATACCGAATTGGTACAGTATGAACAACGTGCTAAGCTCTATTTCAGGATGAGTTTGTTATTTCCAAATCATCAAAGAGGTGAGTGGAGAGGACAGAAGAGTAAATGGGTAAAATACAACTTCATACATGTTATACGAGAGCTCTGTAGTAAGCTTTTTGAGTGGTTACCCTAACCATAAACTGGGAGTATATATAAGGGATGAGAGTAAGGAGTAAATGTGCAAAATGGATTTCAAAGAAAAGTTAAATCGATGTAGGCAGAAGTAGTAAGCATTATGGCAGAGGACCACTCTGAAAAAGTACACAAAGGACAAAAATACATAGGGGGTCCTGAAATTCTATGTTCTAGAAGCGAAAAAAGAGTTCTTCAAAGGTAACCACAGCAAGAGCTTAGACAGACAGGCCCCATGCCTCACCCTGAGAAATCAATTCTTTACTCCACAGGCACTCTTGGTACCCAGGTTACACGACAGGCACCACAGGAAACCTGGTATTTACCACCACACTCCACTGAAGGACAACGAAAAGCTACCTTTCACACTTTCTCTTTTCCTCTACTTAAATCATTATCGTGTATCATTTCTTCGTGTTTTCTCATTGTTTTTCCCCCACAGACACATACTGGCCAACATTGTCCTCCTCGCTCCAAACACAGCCCACTCCCCAATTCTCCCTACCAACAATGGGGGAAGCTGTCTATATACAAAAATGTGGAACTATTTCTCTTTTTACAGATA